TAAGATTAGTGTTTTGAACTTAACAGGCAGGAAGAAGGATTGGTAAAGATTCTAGACTACTCATACGTGTTTTATGCATCATTGGTCCGGTCGATAATTCACTGTTCTCTAATTGGCGATATCATTACATTATATTATTGATAGGGACACAAGTTATAATAGTATAATTAAACATTCTCCCTTTTATAAAATATTGTAATTAATGTAAACAAAAGAAACAACTATTAATTACAATAGAATTAATGTCATTTCCTTTAATTATTATTTATTTAATATACATAATACATGTAACAGTATATAAATATGTATACATCAATTCAGTTTTTTATTTCATTTCAATTAAAACAACATTGATCAAGGTCAACAATATACAATCAACAAATGAGTTTTAATGTATTAAAACTAAGCGCGAAAATCAGTAATATTCGTACTATTATTATTATCATCACTATCATCATCAGTATTAATAATAATAATAATAGTACTTATAGTAGTAGTAGTAGTAGTAGTAGTAGTAGTAGTAGTAGCAGAAGAAGTAGTAGTAATAGTAGTAATAATCATCATAATACTAATAATAAGAGTAAAAGGAGGAGTATTTGCAATGAAATAAACATAAAGTGACTTCATAAAATGTTTTCATTTTTACTAGTATTTTATTAAATTGTTGTTTATTGTAATTTTGACTTAGTTACTGTAAATATTGTTTTAAATAAACTTTGAATATATAAAGATGAATGATTATTCTAATTCTTAAATAGAACATATACATAGATACATAAAGATTGAAAATTAAAGAATAGAATTTGGAAATGTACTTTTAGTGATTATAATAGTTAAAATTATGATTAACGGTAACATTGAATGAAATCAACTATTCGAGTTTACTGCTTTATTTATTTGAACATATAAATATTGATACAAAAAGGCACGAAACAGATATGCGACACATAAATCATTCGATTTGTGCGTGTGAGCTGTGATATTGCCCGGTTTTTCAAACCAAAAACAGGTGGTTTTCTTAAGGGGTCACACACTAAGCCTTTGACCTAAAGATTTAATCCACAAGGCAGTAAAGCAACGTAAGGAGATGCGGTTCCATGGTAGCCGGTGACCAACGATTGGTTCATACGCCATACGTTTCCTTAGAATTCTGGTTTGGAATCAGGACTTTTCATCTCTCCTAGGTGGACTCTTCGTGTCCACCAACCCGGTTAATAAACTGGACATCCACTTTTCGTCCTCTCAATTTCGTAAACAACGCCCCTGGTGCAAGAAGGCAGAGAGTAGGACTTCCCTGGCAGTGGTTGTATATGCGTGGCCATGTGAAAGCATTTCGAGATGGAGAGCTGACTTTCCCCACTCTCAGCCATACCAGTGGGGGGGGGCTTGCCAGTATAATGATTACATTTAGATTAAATACTTACGTCTACTTTGTTCTAAAGTTAAGATTCGATATGTTCAATGCCTTACCCATTCTTGTAATTTGAAAATAAGATCTAAAATTCACATATTTTTAGTTGAAAATGATGTTTAATTTATTAGTTTAGTTTCTACTAAACAGGTAGATTTATATTTAAACTGTTGTCCAATGTGTAGGATATGCGTTTATACGATGTTATTAGTCATCTGTCTAAGACGACAGTAATTAATGTATTTAGATGTAAATATTCACGCGAGCAAGCAAGCCAGGTTTAGAAAGATTATTAACTTATGTAAATAGATCTAGTTTAACATTAAACTAGGTCTCATAAAATTATTTGTCTATATGGTCCCAACCCATCAACAATGCGATGGATATACATATAAGTAAATTATGTATTCATTTGATATAAATTCTTTCTGAATTATTGATATGTATTCTAGAATTCGAAGCAATTAAGTGATTATTGAGTACGGTCAAATAAGGATTAAATATAATCCAGCTAAATTTATTACTGATGTGTTCATATTGTAGTGAAACATCAGGAAAATTATTTGTCGTAAAATCGTTGGGGATGCAGTGAACAAAAATTGATTTCGATGTATGTTTTATTTCATTTAATTTCAAAAATATATGGTAGTCAATACGGCGCAGAGTCGTAATTTGGCTAGTATTAGACATCAACACCAGTGAATGCTGAATCGATAGTCTGGAGGTTAAGTGTGCAAGACCGAAGGCCATGGTTTCAGTTTGTAGGCGCGCACTCCTGAGGAGTCCCGTGCTAGGAAAAAACGGCCGTCCGGTGTTCTCAGGTCTTCAATGGTGGTCTAGCATGGATCGATTCATAATTTCCATAAAATGCAACTGTTGGAGCGGCTTTGAAAAGGACGGAGAAGCCTTCAGCTGCTTTAAAGATGCCTAAGAGATTTCGTGTAATCAGAACCTTATAGAACCTTCTACAATACCAACGTGGTATGGTGTGATCTGAAAATGGTATGAATTTCCTACTTGCAGACTGACTGAATTATGACGATGTTGTAGCCGATACTAAAAACTATAAATACCCCTGTTTTTCTGCACACATTTGATCCTTACCCAATAATCACTTACTTTGCTTTTTCCATCTTTTGATTTGCGAATGTGGGGTTCTATATATTCGTGTGCCAATAGTTGTATACCGTATTCTGTCACAATCAAGTAGAGGACGTAACAGCAACAATCTCCATTATTTCATGCTGTAACGTTATTATCAAATTGATAGCCACATGACGTTTTCAATAATTCTGTATTTCTCGGACATTAATTAACAAATTTTTAATCGAAATCGCTCACAATGAAGTTAATCGTTAAAAATGTGTCTATTATGTTGAGATTTAAGGTGGTAATTGGACGTAAACTACAGGAAACCGGATAGATAAGTAACAATATCTTTGACTGTAAGGCTGAGTGACACTGGATGAATCAACGTGGAAGTATCTGTTCCATTTAGATTACAGGTACACTTTGCTGAAGAGTGCCAAATAACACGAAACACACGTTGAGGATGTCTTATAGACTACTTACAGCTAACGCCTTACATCTCAACACAATGCATGCAATGTTGAATCACTTGGACACTAGTTGTCACATCACAACTTGGACGATACAATTCTATCAGCACTAAGAAGAATCATATATTGGATACTACTTAGTGATCAATCATTTGTCAGATAAACAATCAACGAAAAGTTGTCTACATTACTTATCGTTAAGAAATAGCAACCAATAATAATTTCCATTGCATCGGGATTTAAACTATAGAAATTATGGCAATCAGTCAATCCAAATGATAATCTACCATACTGGATGTACACTGTTGAAGAGTCTCATACTTGGACGAAACGGTCATCTAGTGCTTCCAAGTTTTCAATGATGATCTAACAACATTAATCCATTCATGATATCAATTTAAATAGAATATGAAATAAAAATGCTAAATTAAATTTACTAAGTGATTTACGTATTCTTTTGTCATATGTATAAAGAGCTATCTAGTAATTTTTACTACATAACATTGGTAAATCAATTCAATTTTCTCACTCTATTCATTTCCTTCAAATTATTTGGTAAATTTATTGATCCGGTATAATTTTATCGAATATTTCATTCCCTTTTTTGAAAAAAAAATCAATTCACTTCTATCCATTTATCATCATCACAACTAGGAATGTTAATATGTGAACGAGAGATAAACCCTCACCATTACAATCCCATTCAACAATAGTTGAATAACAATAATAATAATAATAGTCCTAGTGGTAAGCATATGTTCATCATTTATTCATATTTAATTAGAAAAGTGGTGTTTAACAAGACTAAAAGAAGAGACATGGGATGATAGTAATACTACTACTACTACTAGTAGTAATAGTAGTAGTATTAGTAAAAAAGTTTGATGATTTTTTTGGGAATAAACTAGACAATACATTAAATAACATACAGCAGTAAACAAAAAAAAATAGATGAGAAGAATAGAAAATAGAACAACATCTATAGTAATCATAATAATAATAATGGAGAAATGCAGGATAAAAGGAAGATATATCAAATTGCTCATTTATTTCTCTCATATTTTTCTTTTCTAATATATTGAATTATTGATAAAAAGAAAAGAAAAGAGAGAAATATCATAGAGAAAGTTAGCCATGAAAAAAAGAAGTACGATGTCGATAAGAATGACCATGTTGTTGCCGTCGTCATCATCATCATCATCATCATCACCATCATCATCGTCAAGATATGAATTACGATCAAACAAATAAGACGAGAAAAAAAAACAAGACATTATACTACTATAAACATTAGAACAAAGATCCAATATAACTTTTGTTTACATAATAAAATAAAATAATGATATTGAGTTTATTTTGTGCTAAATAACGCACACACACACACACACACGTACACACAATTGCTTAGGGAGAGAGAGAGAAGACCCCACAAGAAAATGACAAATAAATCATCTATTAATACAAAATAAGGTAAATTAAAAGTGGATAGATCTTAATTTAATTAGTTAACACAATGAAAGCTTAAATATTCATGTCATGATCATTATAATGATAACAAATAATGAATAAATTGGATGTAATAGAGGGGTGCAATAGTACCGGTGAAATAATATTGGAAGAGTGTTTAAAAAAAAAAGAAAAAAAGCAACAAAACAATTACATATTGAGGAAATGATTTATTCAGTTGAATAATAATAAAGATAATATTTTTTGGTATTTATCTAAGAGGAACAAAAAAAAAAACAACCCATTATTCTACAAGTAGTATATGAATATGAAATACTTTCTAATTCATTGTAATAATGACGTAATAAATAAACAAATATGTTTATATATTTATATATATCACAGTATGAACAATGTAAAGCTTACTTTTTACCCCTCGTTGTTACCATGGTGATGACTGTACATAATAATCTTTATAAATATATTCAACAACATTTTGTTTATATTGAATAAAACGATTATAATTAATAAAAAATATTGTTTAATTATTATGATAATGAAATTATTATTATTATTATTATAATTTAATATAATGGAGTTGGTTGTAAATCCCATGAAATTTCATCAAATGAATCATGACGATCTGTAAGTAATTGACTTTCAGATTTTTGTCTTGTAAGATGATATTTAAATGAATCAGATAATGTACTCATCATCATTAATTTCATCATATTATTCGATGTAAAATTTGTACGTGATAATGGAACACTAGTAGGATGTTGTTGTTGTTGTTGATGATGATGATGATTAGGTGAATGAGAAGAAGGAAGTTGTTGTGTTAATGTTGATTTATTTATTGATTCTTCACAAAATGAAAAAAATACATCTGGATCACTTGGAGAACGGAAAATAGTTTGACTACGATTAGTATTATTGAAACTATTCATAGTTGGATAGGATAATTTTCGATTTACATCTGTAAAATATATCGTAAAAAAAATTAGGTCGTTAATTTATTGACACGAACGTCAAGACAGTTCTACTGTATTGAGCTGAAACTTGGAGAACTACTACAACCATTATCAAAAGGTACAAGTATTTATAAATAGCTGTCTACACAAGATACTCAACATCCATTGGCCGGATATCATCAGCAATAGCCTTCTGTGGGAGAGAACAAACCAGCTTCCAGCTGAAGAGGAAATTAGGCAAAGATGATGGAAATGGATAGGACATACATTATAGAAATCATCAAACTGCATTATGAGACAAGCCCTAACTTGGAATCCTGAATGGAAGCGGAAAAGAGGAAGGCCAAAGAACACATTACGTTGGGAAATGGAATCGTATATGAAATGGAAGAATAACAAGTGGAAAGAGCTGGGACGGACTGGCCAGGACAAGGTTGGATGGAAAATGCTGGTGAGCGGCCTATGTTCCTTCACGAGGAGTAACAGGCGTAAGTAATTTATTGACAGTATGTATCTCTCCACTTATCTTTAAATACCGATGAAAAAAAAATAAAATGGAAATTACTTGGGACTAAACTTGGTTATTCCTATGCTTGTTACTTAGCTAATATTTTCTCAATACATTATGTAGTCGGAAATTTTTCATTTCGATTATACCATGTTGTCGAGATAGTCGAATCTTATAGTTTACGTCGTGGATTGATCTCGGTACGACGGCCATTGAATAGCTTTTTAGTCTTGGTTTTCAGCTTCAGAGCAGTGTATACCAACGACTTCAACAAATAACTAACCTTTGACTGCTATATCATCAAAGTGCCCGTTCGAAAACCTGAATGCCTTAAGTTTATATCCTTGTTGTTTCGTGAGTTTTGACTGTTAAAGTGATTTATACTATGCTAGGACAACTGTCCAGTGATTTTTGGTTCCCAATCGTTGTTTGACTAAAATCAGACCGTGATGTAAGTCATGATAATCATATACCAGAAGACAACGGTGAATGTGTCGCTCAATTTCGTGGATTAATTGAAGTTAAGTATTAACACCGCTGAATGCCAACTCAGTGGTCTAGTGGTTAAGCGCTTGCGCACGAGACTGATAAATGCTGAGTTCGAATCGTGAGAGGTGGGATCGTGGATGAGCTCTGGTGAGGAATCCTACAATAGAACGAAGCGGCCGCCCAGTGCTTCCAGGTTTTTCATGGTGGTCTAGCTTCAATTGACTCATGATCTTGTAGTGACCTACTCTTATAAAGAGAACGCGATTGGTATAATGGTAACAATTATTATTATAACCAATTGTACGAGAGATTTTTTGTATCCTCAGCCCACACCGCCGACCATCATCCGTTTGGTACCGTCGACTTCAGCCAATTTTGGCGAAAGCTGGTCTGAGCACACACGCTCTTTTCAACGCACTTAGTCGATATTATGGCTTCGAATTTGTCTGGCATATGTTTGGTCTCGAACTTGGGTGTTATGGTCGCTTCTAGCTTCTTGGCTCAATGTGGTTCCATTCTATGTCTGCAGAGGTTTCTGGTCCGCACCCTTACGAACGCAATCCTCAGATCCTGGATATAAACCACTTTGGCGTGGTACGCTAACGCGAGCAACAAGTACAGCACGTTTCTGCCTGTACCGTTCCACGTAAATGACCTCCGGTGACAACTCGAGGACCAACGATCAACGAAATAGCTATGTATCGAAAGTGTAACCCTATTCTAGCGGGGTCTCCTGTAGTGACCTACTTTTATGAAAAGAACGCGGTTGGTATAATGGAAATAATAATTATTATAACCGATTGTACCAGTGATTGTTTTACTGTAGCTGTTTGTTTAACTGTACTAAAACCTTACCTTCTTCCGTTAACTGTGACCTTGCACGCACTCGCGTACTTTACGTAGTCCCACTTGTACTATTTAGCACGATCTTGGTATTATTTCGATACCATGAGATTTCCAACAAATATATCAAACCTAATATCTGGCATGTAATCTTCCAGTAGTGGTGATCAAAGTCAATCGCAACTCGACGCCTACTACAATCTCAACCATTGAAATTACTATGATATTCACGAAAACCCTACTGATATATCAGATTTATCGTAATTGTAGCGTAGTGTAGACAAAAGACTGGTCTAAATACACTTAATATATCAATATTGATTGATTCATTTTCTATGAAACTATCTCGGTGTTTGTTTTTTTTTTTTTTTGGTAAATGGGCAAATAAATAAAGTATGAATGAGCAAACTACGACATATCTATAGAGTTTTCATATACAACCCACGAGGTCATTAAGAAATATGTAAATAAATATAGTTAGTAGTGAGATAATTCCAAACTATGTTCAGGCAACATGTTATTTTATAGTTTAGAAAATTTTTATTTCATACCATCGACAAATTCTTATTGGTCAGATTATAGTCTGTTTAAATAAATCATTGTATATTTAATGTCCTTAGTCAGTGTTGGATTAACATGGTTAATCTTACAAACCAGGTCTTATCTATCATATATCTGATTCTATCGTATTGTACTGTATTTGAAACCTCTATATTTTATTCTATTCAGTTTTCAATTGAATCATAATTAAATTGTATCATTGAAACAATATATTCTCTACTGCTTTTGGATAACTGAGTAGTGACTAATTAGGAATACATGTCCTACAGGAAGTAAGTCGAGCGATAAGGAGCTCAGATTATGAAACTAGATGGTGTGAATTTGAATCCACAAGGAACCAGAAGTTCTCTCAAGGCGAGTGGAAAATAGCATGTAATCTAAGTCAAGCAGAGTTCCTTTCCGACTACCATAAACTATTCAACCTCTAAACGAAGTACATATAGCATCGAGTCACTTAAACTAATAATCATATTGCGATTTCATCAATAAAATTAGATCAACACTGAAAAGCTAAGCAAACATGATATCAATAAATCGCGAACTGATTTTAGCTAGACTACCATTAAAAACATAGATACATTAGATGGTCTATTCTTCCTAGTGTGATGCTCATCAGAGGCGTAGATCTACGAACCCGTATCTAGTTAATAAAATGTCATTTATAACCATTTGATTATAGCAGATATAACAAATATCTATCATATCACTGAATACATAAATGAAGTTTACAAATACTCATATCATGATATAACTCCTAATCAGTAAAAACTAAAAACGAACAAATCAATTTCTACACTTTGATCTACGTGTCATATCCTATTCAATCGAGTAAAACACTTTGATAATCACTATTGCTTGTCACACAAAACTGAATTAATTGTAGGAAAAAAAAAAGATTCTGCTAGACTGATTAAAAATACTTCAAAATTATAGTGTCCTGATAAAATATGAAAACCATACCACTAAATACTTCATTTGCACATCTTCCATCAATTGTCTCTTAGAAACTTCATCGTCCTTTCATTTCTGTTGTTATTACAATTACTCTTTATTTACTTTTCTGTTCTATTCAGTTTAATCTTCTCAATCTTTCCATGTTAGGCATTCTACTTCTGATTAATGTTACATAATACTCATGTCGACAGACATAAGTAGAATAAACCACAATGGTATCGTTTCTTGTATTATCATTTAGTAAAAGACTAGTCACCTACCTACCTACCTACCTACCTACCTACCTACCGATCAGCATTATACAAAATATAAGTATATACAGGAAAGCAAATATGACAAACTGCTTATAAAGCAATATTTCTTTTTATGTGATATAAATAATTGACAAAACTATACTTAAAGTTAATAATATAATCAAAAAGACTGAAATATATTATAAATATAATTTAATATATTGTAAAGTGATGTAAATAGTATTATAGAACTGTATAGCAAAGATATATATAACAATAATTAGGTATTTTGATTGAAATCATTACCGAAATACAAAAGTAATGATTATCAGAACTCAATAGCTAAATGGATAACGCGATGGCGTTTAAAGTGAATATTATTGGGTTCAAATCCCAGTGTAAACATCAACAAGTTTGAGATGCAGGTACATCTAGTTGACGAGTCCCAAACAGGATGTATTGAGCGTCAAACTTGATTCCACTGCTAGCCATTATTCATCTTTGCTTAGAAATGATTATTTATTTATATTGTTTAATATTTGTCAAATTACATAATCATTCAATCATTTAATAGTTAAACAATTACTTCTATTATCAGTGTCATTTAGTTTGTAGAGTTCAGTAATGTGTCATTTAAGTTTAAAAGTATTTACTCATTTATTTTCAATACTGGTGATATATATATATGTCATGGTTTAGATGTTACATATCTTCATAGATTTACACTGACAATTACTACAGAAATGACATTATTGACAAAGAATTACACGTGATATGCTGACAGATAATGTATAATACAATACATTCAATATTCATCAGTTTAATTAATTGAAGTTAAAGATTAATATTTATTGGATGCGAAATCAGTGGTCTAGAGATTAAGATTTTGTGTACAAAACCTAAGGTACTCGGTATGACCGCTGTATACGCAGTCATAGATGCGCATCTCTGAGGAGTCCTATACTAAGACGAGATGGCTGTTCAATGCTTCCAGATTTTTAATGATGGTCTAACAAAGATAGGTTCATGATTTTAACGTAATTTTATAATATTGTATATCTATGTTGTTAAGTACTACCTATATAATGTATACCAATCTGACAGTTAATCGATATGATTTGTATAAAACTTAATGTATTCAGTTATTTATGTTGACTTTTATTGAGTGACAAATAAATCCTTATTTGACATATTTGCGCTCTCATTTGCATCATCCGATTTCTGATTTTGTTGTTGAAACATCAAAATATAATAACATTTGAAACAGTGATGACATTTATGTCTAAAAATCTCAATAAATCTTCATCTGGATCATTTAATACTTGGAATTATGGGAACTAGAATAGTTCTCGATTTCAAGTATTTGGGAGTAAGATGGGCAGTACAACAATAAGTAATTATAACTTTAGGCGATTTGTATTTAATAAGAAGACTTAAAACAACGTGAATTTATTGTCAATATTAGATTATGGAGATTGTTGAATTTCATCGGAATCATGAACCGACCAATGTTAAACAAATAATGAAAACATGAAAGCACTGGACGGTCGTTTCGTGATGATATGGAACTCATGAGAACTGCCCATCCATGACTACATAGATAGGAATTGAATTCAGGTCCTTTATTAGACTATACACACATCTTTATTCTTATTTCGTTTAAATTTGTCAAACGATCAAATTGAGTAATTTTTTGAAAAACGCTTTCTTAAAACGCTAATCATTATGTCATAGAATATCAAGCGAATTGATATGAACGAAGTTTTATGAAGTGTTTAAAAATCATCTGTTTCCCTTCATCACCTTTTAAAATTGTTCTGGTCAACTAAATTTCCACTCTCCAAGAGGAACGTACGTTGGCTAACAACTTCACATATAGAGTCATCTAATCAGTAAATTTTAACGTTGAAATGCAAACTCTGTCCAACGAATGTTTGAATACCGTTTCGAAATAAACTTACTTGCTATATTCAATAAATTATTCGTCATAGACTAGAATACAGTATATTAATCTAGATAAATCAAAGTTTCTGAAAAGAGGTGATCAGTGTTGAACTTAAAATTTAAATAAGAATGTTAGGTTTCAGTATCAGGTCGAACTATGGGTATTTGGTAGCGTGGCTTTTATATTATTTCAACCATTACTATGACTAATGATTTAAGTCAAATTTTCTCACCGATTTTCAGAGTTACACAGTAACTCAGCAGTGTAAAATGTTATTCAGCTGATTTTATTTTGTCACTTAAACTAGATGGTTAACTGAAATGTCAGAATACTACTTCTTGCTGTACAAAAAGTAGAAATAACAGTAATAAAAATAACAACGAAAGATACAAATTATGCCTAGTGTTTGTATGTTCGATACGAACGTTTAAATAATTTTCAGAAATGGGCTACATTTTTGTGTCGGAAAGAAGACAAAAGGCGGGAAGTTTGAAAGGAAGCTTCACTCTCAAGGTTAGCTGAGATATTCTTTAAGCTTCTGGAAATATGTTGAAATTAAAAACACGATTGGTGATCATCCAATCTAGATATGACATGAACTTTCTGGGTAGTTTCTATTGTATGCTGTTTAGACGAAATATTCACAACCATTTACCAGTTTTTGAAGATGTTTAGGAGAAACTTTGTAAAACTTTCAATAAGCGGTCAAAATGTGCGAAATTGTGGAATGAAAAACTGTTACCAGAAATTTGTAAGTAACTACTTTTATTGTTGTATAATGACTAAAAGAAATGCTATGATTAACATATATTAAGGAAAGGAATGAAAGGCAAGGTTTATTTTACATTTGACAGTTTGTCGTTAGCCTAAGCTGAATAAATATTATGATAATGAGACGATCAGATAGTATATCTAGAAATCTTACAAAATGTTTAAGGCTAAATCTAGTATAGAAACCAATACATAGTTCGACAGTTAAGATAATCTAAAAAGACGAACTATAATCAACTGATCACTGAGTATTGATCAATGCTATGTTTGTCTAGTATTTTAGTGATGACAGAATTCTATCGATCAGGTTACCATATGGCTTATGGATTAAGTGGCCAGACATCGCGTTCACTAGGTTCTGGTATTAAGTGGTTCAAGGTAGACGATACGAAACCCTGTTTGATTGTAGTTTTGTGTTAGTTAATAGTGCTCAACAAGGTGTACTTGTACTATTGTGCGATGTGATTCTTCTAGCCATCTAGCTTTAAATGTTGAAACGCCAATATGAATATTCGGATGTAACTTGAACTTAGTTACGACTCAGTGATCAGTCAGTTGTAAAAAAATCAATCTTGCAGAAGATCTGTCGCATCTTGAATGGGTTAGTTGTAACGTCACATGTTGAAACAGTATGATGAGGGTTCAAATTCAACAGGGATCACCAGTTTCTTCAATATTACAGGTTCGCTTTGTTGAGGTGTAATATTCGATATGAGAAGTAAAATAAACATTAGATTATGGACAACTTTTAACTAGAAAAAGCAAACAAACTAAGGAATAACACCAAGAGTCACTTGACAGAATCAAGCCGCTGGCGTCTCAACTACAAAAGCACCATTTTGATCAGGGTCACATGGTGGTGAAAAGTTACAAGAAGTTGAAAAGTTTGTGTAACTAGCTACCTGTGTAGAGTGCTAGTGCTGGAATGTCAGATGGGATTATTTCAACTTATAGACAGAGATGGCTTGTATTAATCTAAGCCATTTTATATTCCGTTATAATGTTAGTCTGGATGTAAAAGATCGAGTCTATAAAATATCAGTGAAAGCAGTCCTGACCTATACTTGTGAAGCTTTACCACTAAAAATTGAGGATGTTAACCAATTATCCGTTAAATCACTGTTATATTCGAAGAATTACATAATTTCAGTGGCGTCGCCAGGTTATAAAAAGTGGTTTTAGGACACTGTGCCAATAATCCAAATCATATCACCATTTTGAAAAACCGGTTTCGGTGGCTTCATCTGGTGTTACAAATGTCAACCAGTGGCTTCTACATCGTACATTGTTTGGCGATGCTGAGAGTGGGTGTTAAAAGCGAAGAGGTGGACGTTTTGTGACATAGTGCCTGAGTGCGATAGAAAGATATGGAAAACTGGAACCTATCGTCTCATCATGATTTCTCTGACTGGAGTCCAAGAGATTTTTTAACTCAGTGGTTTGAGATGTTGTCATATATTGCTTAGGCTAGTAACCGATGTTAGTCCTAATATATCTTTCTTTGACATCAATGTTAGACCCCATTGGTAACTTGGAAGCGCTGGATAGCCGTTTCGTCTTAGTACAGGAATCCGCAGCAGTGCGCATCCATGATTCCACACCCAGCACTCGGACTTAGGATCGTTGGTATTGAGCACGAACTATTAACATCTAGGCCACTGAGTCGGCATCTTGTTGTGTTATTGTATATGTTTAACTAATCCACGATAATGTATGACCATCCTTGATTGTCTTCGGTGGGTAAGTCTGCCTCACACCCGGAACAAATGAACTCCACTGGTCATAACTCTTCTAAATGAAGACCTTCTAACTCCCAAGGCAGAGTTTAAATGGTTTGAATTATTTTTTCTGGTAAGCGTTTTTTCCCGAGTTAGATTTCTACTGAATGGGGTCGCTAACCTCATGCCCAAACGTTCTCTTTTGTCCGGGCTTAGGACCAGCAGTGGCCCTAGAGGGGCTCCGAGCAGAGTTTGTGTACCACACAGCAGCATAACAGTAGTCGTTTTTGAGAAATTAGTTCAGAACTCAGGGAAATATTCAATATACTTTTTTAGCTTACTCAAGTTGACTTGTGATGTCAGTAAAATTCAACACTCTGAACAATCCCCCAATACTGATAATAATCAAGTAATTATTAGTGACTAATTTCATAAGAGGATTTCAAGATTTTTAGTGACCAATAGACTCCAACCATATCAAGTTTAAGACAAATTTTATCAATAACAATAGATCATGATCGGAGATATTTTCAGATTCATTAAAATTAGTAATGTATACTATTAAATCTTGGGTTTATAATCTAAATGTTTAGTATTTACAGTGAAACTTGAGAATTATAAGTACAGTGTTTAGTTTGATTTTGAATGCATACTACTGATGAAGTAAAAAAAATCTGGTTGATGCATATTACAGGAACCTGAGGAGTTCTATATTAGAATGAAAATGATATTCAGTACTACCTAATAATGATTATCTTATTAAGATTGATTCATTATATCATCATATAACGTATAATAATTGACAGAATTAAACTATTCATATTATTATATTATTGAAATATTCTTTTCATTAAATTTACTTACCTATATTTTGATGTAATATAACAGTAGTACTATTTGCAGAACTTGGTTCAGTACTTCGTGAACTAGTTGATGATCTTTTTGATGATGGTGATGATATTGTTGCTATGACTGAAGATAATGATACAGGTATAGATTGTGTAACAGATAAAGGAAGTTCTAATTTACAATAAACATATTGATTACTTTTATCATTATCATTATTATTAACATTATTTGGTATATGTTTATCAATAACTGAATAATTATGGATCATATTAATTGTATCAGAAAAGATTGAATTCATTGTTGATGTAGTTGTTATAGTTGATGTAATTGAATTACATTCAGTTGAATGATTAATAGTATTATTTAATAAATTAATCGATATATTATGTTGATCATCATTAGGTGATAAATTTGTTGGTGATTGATAATCAATTGAATGAATGATAGATGATGATGTAGATGATGATGAAGATAATAATAATAATGATTTATGATCAGGAATAATTAATGAATCATTATAACCACTATCACTATGTTGAGTATCAGAATAATTTAATGGAGTTAAAAATTGTTGAGAAATATTATGATTCTGTTTATCAGTAGTATTATCATTATGATTATTATTATCTTTTGAATTATGTAACAATATATTATTTTCAGTTTTAATTAAATTATTTTTTAATATAGGAAGTGAATCATTTGGGAGTTCTGGAAGATCTATGGAAACAAAATAGGAAAGAATAATGTATATATATATATATATATATATATATATATATATATATATATATATATATATAGGTAACGGCGAAATTTAGGATGTGTATTTCGTCTCATTTAAAACTCATCAACTAGATTTATCTGTTTATTTTAGGGTTAATCTACGTGTCAAAATTTGAACGCTGTATCTTTAGCTGAGCTACTTGTGTAGTGAACAAAACATCAGTGGTGACAATCGAACGTATTTAACAAATTACAGAATTAGTTAGTAAAGTCTAACAACCATATATTAAATACTGAAATTCCAAAATGTTCATCAATTGTCTCAAATGACTCAGAATTACTTTGTTCTTGCATTTTCATACAAATTGAATTCTTTCTTCATTGTTTATTGTTCGATCTTCTGTTCACTACTCACGTCATATACTACTTATGTCTACATAAGTAACCACGAACGTGTTCACTAGACATCCTGTTTTTAGTTTATCATTGGTGTAGATTTGAATGATCTGATTATAGATACTCTTGATTGAATTTAAACCATCATTTATTGGTATGCATGAGTTATCTTATCGGAATTGCATCAATCTAGTTATTTTGTTAAATGCAGGGTCGTGGGTAGATGGATATTAATAGCTATCGAATAAAGAATTGTATGAAGTTTAATTTTGATGATGCGATACAGTGCAGTATGCTATCAGAAAAGTCATACAGCGTAAGAACGGCCTAAGTGATCATTTTGATGTGCTACTTTTGGATACTTGGAAATCGTAGTGATCTATTCATTAACCTAGTCTGTTAGTTTGAACTCAAGTTATTATTAAATACTACCATGATAAGTAGCAAGTTAAGGTTCAACAGAAAGGTCATGCGGTCGATTATGCAGAGAAGTAAAAGGAGTAAAATGTTTCATTAGAAGGGACGACATCTGCTGCAATTTTATAACCTCACAACTGAGGAGTGTTAGAAGAAATGCCCATCCCCTAAGGGTTGTACGTATCACGATGCTCCGTGGAGTTTCTGTCTCCGTCAGTAAAGCCTTATCACACATTGAAATGCTTACGAATAGGTCTCAAGCAGGCATCTATTTGACATTGAATTCTAGTCCCCAGTTCATTAGGACCACAAATAACCCAGTTTTCTACTCAATTAGCTCTAAAAGAATTATCCTTCTGAACTGTAGATAAACGAAAAGTGACAACCGGTCAAACACATCTAACAGCATTATAGATGGATACATTTGATATAAGAATATAAATCTGAAATTTGATAACTATTTTATTCTACCCAACTATCCATGAAATAGTCATAAGTCTATCATTTGTGATTTTTATACTTTAGTGAAAAGTAACAAATGTTATTTTTCTAAAGAAACAAAGCACATGTAAATCTCAATGAGAACAGATTGTTTATATATAAGTAATAAGAGGATGAGATAAACTATAACATGCAACATTCTTTATTGTTAAATGTATTATCATCAATCTGAATTCGTTTAATTCAATATTCATCAGTTGATAAGCTTCGATTTCTTTGAGATCATGTATTGTTATTCGGAAAGTCAGTCAGTCACAACGTAGGACCAGGCACATATGTGCATCAGTTCAAATTACTATACCTCACGGAAACTAAAGAGAAAAATTTACAATGATAAATAATAATAGCTAGAATGAAAAATTAATCAATTAATTTATTTACCAAGTTTAGTGAATACTGGCAACTTATCAGTTTCAATAGGGATTATTCTTTTTCCTATTATTGGTAATTCATGTTTAGGGTAGTTTGTAATTGAATAATTTCTTCTTGGAATTACACTTGATGAAGTTAAACCCAATGAACGAGAAGAATTAATAAAATCAAATGGAATGTGTTGTGGTGATGGTGGTACAGATGAAATAGATCTACTTGGTATAGTAATCGAACTTGATAAACCAATAATATCAATCGCTGTGATTGGTGAATGAGTTATTGTTGTATTATGTAATGATGAAGAGAAAGAAGTGTCTTTCTGTTGTTGTTGTTGTTGTTGTAACTGATGTGCTCGCCTTTCATTTAACGATATTATACTTGTTACCGGAGACGTTGATGATGTTATTGTATTCACATTAGATAATGAATTTTCAAGCGTATTTGTTCTGATAATGAATTGGTTAACCCAACCAGCAACTGGTGGACCGGGTGGGGGAAATTTAAAACGATTACTGTTATTATTATCATTGTAATCAGGTGAAAATACTCTAGAATTTCTATTCGATGAATAATATCCAGTTGATGGTGTTGTTGATTGATTGTTGCCTAAACTTAAATCTTCACCAAATGATGATTGATTGAACTTTTCATGAAGTATTGGTGTTATTGCGGTTGTAGTTGGTATTATCTGATGATTTGGCATTCTGTAATAATCATGATATGTATATTGTTGATTTAATGGATTCGATGGAACGAAACCATTGAATACAGCTGTTTGTAAACTATATAAAAAGTAATCATTATCAAATGATTCCATTGCATTAAAATTCTAAAATAAGTGGGAAGAAAAGAGAATATCATTACTGATATTACTATCAATACTACTACTACTACTACTACTACTACTACATACTACTAATAATAATAATAATAATAATAACTTGGATAAACAAAAATGGGATTTTAATAGTTGAAATCATGAGTGGGATGGTTATAGCTTGTTATTACTGATCAAATTCACCTAATAGAATTTTGGCTAAGATTTCTATCTTGGGTCTAAGTCATGATGAATTACACTTTTCAAGCAGTACATTTAATCTTGAGCTTATGTCAGCTGAGATCTTGTTGGTTCGCTATACGTAAGCTGTTCTCTATTTTTTCCTTTGTGTTCAGAGAGAAATTAGTAGCAAGTTTTTATTATATTGTATTAAAAGGACATGTGTGTTTATATGTAAACATACTAGATCTTAATCACACGATAAAATAGAAAATTTTAGTTATCCACAAAGAAATCGAGAGGGGCTGTGAATAGAAGAATCTGGAAATAAGTGTTTACCAATAAAATAGAAATAATAGTACTATTGTAGTTGATGAGTTAAGCGGAAGTTTATGGTGAACGGAATATGAAGTCATAGTAATCTAAATACTTAATAATTATAAAACCCAGTTCCAGAAGTCCTATTGTTTTTACAATATACTCATTATAACAGTGATAATATCATTACCAATATGCATGTGACTAAATATAGATTGGTGTTTGTTAACATATGCATATTCTTTAATGATTGATTTGATATAACCATCTTACAACAAGTTATTTATAGGAGGTGAAGTGTGGCTAACAGTGTAATTTATTTGATTTATTTGAGACTCTTCGGCGGGAAGTACCTTGTTTAAGGTACTTCCGTACTAATAAATATGCAAACATCATACCCACGAAATAAGTTAGTGAAAATCTGGATTCTGATATCAGTCAAAGACGTTTCGACCATTCAAAGAGAAAGATACAGGATTCAGATCGTTATATGAATATTAACTGTAGGATGCAGATCTACCCAGTTGACGAGCTCCAAATAAGATGAAAACTATGTCTTATATTTTACTGTTAGCTACATCGTATCTACTCTTATTGATGCTATTAGTACTGATACAATGAGAAATCATTTAAACGAAAAATTATCAGGTCTATAAAAGTAATTTAAAGTTGACTATGAATTATAGATTCGATTTTGTAACACCGCCCCCAAATGCCCTGGTACTGCCGAGAGTGGGGAGAGTCCGCTCTCCCTCTCGAAATGCTCTCACATGGCCACGCGTACATAGCCCCTGCCAGGGAAGTCCTACTCACTGCCTTCACGTGGCGGGGGTGTTGTTTACGAAAATGAGAGGACGAAAAGCGAATGTCCGGCGCCTTAACCGGACCCCAAACCAATGGTGCACATGGGCTCCAGTATCCTGAAGGAACAAATGGCGTATGAACAAATCGTTGGTCACCGGCTACCATGGGACTGCATCTCCTCACGATGCTCCACTGCCTTGTGTATCAGACGTTCAGGTCAAAGGCTCGGGGTGTGGCCCCCTAAGAAAACCATCTGCTTCGGTTTGGGCACCCGGGCAGTATCACAGCCCTCACACAAATCAATTGAGATTCGTGTGGAGCATATGTACTTGGTGCCTCCTTGTACCAATACCTATGTGTTAAATAAATAAAAAATAAATAATAAATTTTGTAACACCATACTGTTATATACGAATGGATAGTTGGGGAAAGGAAAACTATTTAACAGGGTATTATCTTATGTAATTTTCATTGTATAGTCATTAAATCCCTTGATGACTATCGTCTTTCTTTATATTCGCTTATTATATAGCTTTCACATGACTTGTATGTTATATGTTTTACTGTTTCAGATTTATCAGCCATTGATTAATGTTAGCATTACTACGTTTTTTCTTTTATTATTTATGTTCTATTCGTGATTACATTACATCTCATTTCTGATAAACTCAGTCAAGTCTATGTAATATGTACAAACCCACAAGTTGTTGGTTTAAAAATTTTGGAGAATAATACAGAGGGTATTGGTTTTTTAACTTGACTGTTTGATTGGACACTCGATTAGAAAAATGTTCGTTGATCAATAAGCAAAAAAATCCTAAAGTTGTTTTTCTAAGTAATTCAGTTATCGTGAATTTCTTATTTGAAATGACTATATCAACAGTTAAGAACCAGAGAGAGAGAGAGAGGGAGAGAGAGAGGAAGAGGGAGTTTTTAATATTCCAGGGTAAAATTCAAGATTTCATAGAGTACTTAGTCAACATACCTTACTTATTTTACTGAAACGTAATAAACGATGCAATTAACCAAATAAACGACAATTAACTGTGATGAATAGTTCTATTCTCTCTTTCTCACTTAGTGGACACAAAACATCAAATTGGTATGAATTGATTACTGTATTCTATCGAATCTATCATATAGTTTACGGGTTTATGTTTGGCACAATACCAAATCTATCGCAATCCACATTCAGAAACCTTATCTTTATACGTTGATCTACATAATTTGTCATTTATGGTCATTGTTACGGATACTCTCTCTCTCCCGGGTTTTCTAAAAATGTCATTCAGTTTCATGTTCATGAATGATTTTAGTATTTACGTCTTCATTCTTACTTAATTCTATTATTATTATTCATTCAAATAAACATTCAAAGTGTTATTATTATTATTACTGAAATAGGATATTAACTTCAGTGGATCCCGGTGTAGAGATCTAGGGATTAAGAGTTTATATGAGAGATCAAAGGTCCTAGGTTTGATTCACAGATGAAGGTTTGTGGATATATTCTATTGAAGAGCCCCACACTAAGACAAAACGTCTGTCCAGGGCCTCCAGATATTTCACTGGTGGTTTGACTAAAATGAGTTTATGATTTAACCTCTGAAAATTCTGTAGCCTCCTTAAATCTTCTTATACTAATAAAAACCTAACTATTAGATACGGCTGAATATGTTGAAAGAGTGAACGTTCGAGAGTTATTATACATACTTTTACTGTCCTAATTGTAGGCATTCATTTAACTAATTGCCTGTTATCATATGTTTCATCGTCCATAAATTACCGTTAATTAATTGTGTACCTGTTACTCAGTTTTGTATGATAAATAACCTAGTTATGTATAGATTATTATCTTCTACTTATCGTTCTCTGTGATCACTTATTTGGTTTACGATATCATGTTTATTTTTTGGGTCAAATATACAACAAAAAAATCAATTGGTTTTCATTATTTTCTGATTGAGTGGCCTGGAGACAGAAAATAACTGCATGGTTCAGTCAGAGTCAGGATATTTAATGGGCATAATATATCAAGTGAAATTCATTAGTGTTATTAGCAATGGAGAAAGTCATACCACTGACAACAGTACAAACTAGTATCATACAAAATATGGAGAATTTGTATTGTTTGGAATTGATCGCAAACGCCGAGAGTTTCTGACTTTTTTCTTTAACTATCACTAAGCTGAAATGTTCACATCCAAATATACTAAAACGTTCAGGATAAATAGGACGGTTGATTGTCTGTAATATTTATCCATAAGATTACGTTCATCCCACTGTAAAATTCAATATTATTTGAAGAATAGGTTAGTAGTAAGAGACTAAATAATTCCTTAGTGGTAAAGTGGCTTATTGTTGCAAAATGAAGAAATCGGTTATACATAATTAACAAGTTAGTTCGTTCAGTACCGAGAACTGACTGAAGTAGGACAAAAAAACTATTGAGGGCCAGGTCAGTAATTCGAAATCTATAGACTAAATACGAGAACTCATCATCCTAGGTTCGATCCCTTGTGGTGCGTTTGTTGATGGGCACTACTGATGGACTAAAAATCAATTGAAAATTCTAGTTGGTGCAAACAAAAAGAGATTGAAACGATTCATACGCACTTATTCTTTATTTTGTCGTGCAAAAAGTACTCACTATTATTCTTATTAGTATTATTATTATTATTGCCAGCCGAGTGATGTGAAATGATCTACCCGCTTTTCAATGTTATATAAGTGTGTCATATTTAACATTGTTGGCCACTTTGCACTCAAAGGAAAGTGCTGCATATCCAAGAGTAATTTTAGCTGATGATCGAATTTCAAACCCTGTCTTTACCAACCGTGATGTGGGGATGCGCTACGTTAACCTGTTCATAACAGATCTAGTTAACTTCAGATGCTTGAAATAAACGAAAAATACACGGAAAAGTTGATTACCATGTACCTAGGGATAACCTCAAAAACTGAATATAGTAAGTTCCACATTGATTTTCCCGTTGTTAAAAATAATGTGATCATTTGAATCAACATACTCATTATCTAACCATGCTTTATGTTGTGCAATTTTCAGTGAAAGCGGAAAAGTACACAGACACATATATTCAGGGGCACAGAAGGACAAATGTACGTACCATTATTAGGTGTATCATTCAAATGAATAGACTTTATCTTTACATACCTCTAACTCATTTTAAACGTAAATAGGCCAGACAGTTGTCTCACTTGATGAAACATAATATTTGTTTGTTCTGAAGAATGTGTCAACTTATTAGCAGTAAGTCACAAGGTCCACAGATTTTGTGGTACGATCAGTGAGACCATAATTTATGGACAACCTTTGAGCGACGCTTAAGAGACCTTGAGAATGTCCACCTACATACTACGGCTAAATGAAGTTTATAAACCAGTGTGAGGAATTACGATTAATATTTACAGTTGACAGTTAGGGTTAGGAATCTGATATAAAGTTTTCATCACAAACTGACATAAGCTATAATGACAAAACTCGATTTCGTCGAATGAATTAATTAATTTCGCGGCAAAATTCAAGACCTGTTATCGTAAATCTGATTGGTTCGTCCATAAATTATAGTCCCGCCGAAAATTATAACGTTTTTCTGTTTATTAATTCTGAATTCAGAGGGAATTTTGTGGAGAATTTAGGAATTTAAATAGTCGAAATCACGAGTTAAGTGAAGCTAGACCACCATGATAAACCTGGAGGCACTGGACGGCCGTTTCGTTGCAGTATGAAACTCTTAAGTAGTGCGCATCCACGCCCCCCTCCGCAAGATTCGGACCCAGAACCTACCAATCTCGCGCGCGAGCGCTTAACCATCTACCAAAATTAACCATATTTTACTTGCCTAATATTAATACCATATGATATCATATACAAAAGCATATATGATTCAACATTTCTCTAAATCTTTTACCGGTAGATGGTTAAAATCAACCAAAATAAAACGTTTATATGGGTCGGTTTTCAGTGAATTCAAAATTGTTAAACAGAGAAACGTTATAATTTTCTATTCATAATGATGTCCAAACGTTTATTTATCAATATAATGTAGTGAATAAAGATAATTACTTATTTACTTGAAAATACTGTCGTTTGTAGTAATATCTTTACAATTGATTGATCACTGACTAGTGAATAGTGTCGTGTTAAACTTTTTCTTTGATGTTGACCGAGATCTTTCAATCAAGTTGCATTCTGATCACTATGTTAATATGTTATGCGGTTGGAATTTGTTTAACAGAAATCTCACTTAAACCTGAGTGTCATGATATTCGTTAGACATCAGTTAGTTGTACTTGTATTAATGAACAAAATGATGTTTTATTGGTAGATTTGAACTTGCATTACTAACTTTCATATTCCAACAAATTACCACTAAGTTATTTAGGTCGTGTAAGACCTACTGTATGACTAAGATATTTATAATCAAGTTCAAATCTTATAGTAAGCAAGAATGATTGTATATCTCATTAATAAATCGCAGCTTGAACAAAACCTAGATCCAGTTACATGTTGACTATTACCAACTACCTTAAGTATATATATATATATATATATATATATATATATATATATATATATATATGATAAAAAGGTGAATCGTTTGTTTAGTACATTGAATAACCTTATCACAACTATTGATTCATAAAGAGTTTTGATGGAAATGAATAAAATCTATCAAATAATCAGTATAATTATTATAGATCAATTTTAGACCGAAAAGTTATACATTGATAATAAATGGAATTTAAAGAATTTCATAATGATTTATGTATTAGACTATTATCATCATTATTGTAACTATTGTTTAAGAAGAAGAAGAATGTTAAAATCTTAAGATGTTGTTGATAATTATTTCTACACTAAGATTTGGTCAGGTTACAGTTTTAAAAAAAAACTGTTCAACTTTAAGATCAATAGTGTCAAGTCATTCAAATCACTGGTCACAATAAAACTTGATCGATAGAATTTGATCAGCAATTAAATGATTAGAGAAACTTGAATTGGACAACTACTCAATGATTATAGACTAGATGGAATGAAGAAAACGAGTTTTATCTTAGTTCTGAATCATCAGCTCGATGAAAATACATCTCAGAGTTCATGTGAATGGCTAGCTGGAATCAATAGCTCAGTGGGCAATGCGATGGCATTTGAAGCAAACGGTAAATGTTGAATCTGAGATGCAGGTACATTCAGATAGGGCGCAATACGCATCCTCAATTCTATATATTTCACTTAATTCAATGGCTATATTGAGGCAATCTACAATCTGACCAAATTTCATTCAAAAATATCAACGACGGGATAATCGAATTATATACTTAGTGATTAGTTAACTTATGTATTCCATTTCTACAAGAGATTAATCACATATCCCAATAACAATGCCTCTTGGAAATCTTGTAGGAATACTATGGAGATTATCGGCCCTCTCAATATTGAAGCTAATCCTTGTGGACGTATCTCAACTAGCATGAAACCAAGATTTAAAGTTACTTGTTGATTACCTTCAACCATCTAATTTTAAGAATAATGGTTTGAGTTATACCATGTGTTGGCATCTTATTGTAGCTAAAATCCTATAAGTTGGATTGCTCTAGAAAAACAGTTCATGAGTATAATTGTGTATTTGAAGCTTTGTCATCTTGAACTTAGATCATTTTGAAATTAAGTAGGATTAGTAGAACTTCTAAGAGAATTGTTGGTATACATGTACAAGTAGGTGTTGTATGCAGCAGCAATTGGAAATGGAATGTCTGCCAAAAGGATATTGAGTCGACGAGAAAAAGGAAGAAGAACAGAGAGAAATCGAAGTGACAAAAGAATTAGAAGAATCGTGAAGTATACAAAGGACAACTGGGTAAAGATATGCAAATCATGTATTTAATGTATGGTTCGCGTATTATATATATAATTAAATGACAACGGAATGGCTGTGTTGTTTATTGAATGACTAATTGAGGAATTTTAAGAAAAACGAAGCTTATTAAGTGGATGATGATCGTCGTCTATTGCTTCTGACTATTTCAACACGTGTACTAATAAACTGAATATTTAGCAAAGTACGATCACGTCATATATTTATTGTTTATACGTAAAGGTAATCTTCAACTTTATCAAGAAATATATAGGTTGATGCAAACGATTTAAGTAAATGAACAGTAAAACAGGGGAATTAAAATCTATCTAATTATCTCAACTTCAATAGCATACGTACTGGACTAATCTATGGTAATCACCGGAAGCTAAGAATTAATGAACAGTTGTTTTGCCTCCATAAAGGAACTAAGTAGTGCGCAATCAAGACACCACAGTGGGTCAGGCATACGATATTAAGGTCTTAAGGTAATCCATTAACCATTTATAGTAAAAGGTTGATATTTAGTGTTCTGTATGTCCAACTTCAATTAATTTACGATATTATGCTTCATGTCTAAAATGTTTGAATTTCACAAATTAAGCATTCTTACAAGAGCTCTAGGAGTTACCTCTAGAAGTTAGACACTCATAAGTATATGATTATTATTATTACTATAGACAACTATGTAAACACTTTTTTTTAAGAATGTTTATAGTTTACATAATGTAATAATAAGTTGATTGAATACAATCATTAATAGTATAATAGAAAATATACTACTTACAAAATTATCCGATATCATATTTTGATTATGATAACTTTCTGATTCATATACTTCTGTAATTGGTAAAGGATTTAATTGACCAGATTTATTATAATAATTATCATTAGAACTAGTAGTATTCTCTTTTAATTTATTTAATTTTTTTGTTGTTAATTGTGAAAAACGTCGTTTATTCTTTAAACCAAATGCACTTAATTGAGTTATGAATGCAATTGATTTAATTCTTGAATGATGTTGTCGTGATGATAGATTTTCACTAGATGAAGATTTATATTTATTCAAGGTAGACTGTAATGGATGAACATAAACTGGATAACAAGGTGGTTCATTTATTATTGGTGATGTTGTTGATGTCTCTGTTAATATTATATCAGTTGTAGGTTTATTATAAGATTGAAAATTAGAAGATGTTGCATCGAATAACATTGAACCATTCAAATGATTTGTATTGAAGTAATGATGATCAGTCCAATCTGTTAAATGAATTAGAAAAAAAAAAGAGCAAACAACTTAGAAATAAAGAATAAGGATGACAAAAAGTTATACTTAAAAAGGAGAAGAAAAATTTATAAAATTGTTTCGTCCTATTATGAATTGTCAGATTAATGAGTAAAGAATAATCATTTCATTAGAAATCAGAACTCAAGGAATTGTCTAGCTAATGAAAATTTGTGGGAAGAAGACTATCTTTGAAATGCAAGGGGTAAAGAAGAAAGAATGGTTCACATTACTACATTGTTTTATAACAGAGAAAAGAAACTATCAAAACGAATTCCATATTAGTGGAAATGTTGAAAGTATGAGTGGTAGTTGAAAAAGAATATGATTAGATGAATTTGAGTCATCCCATCCATTGTACTCATCCAATGATCAAGACAACCGAATGGATCACAACCAATTGATTGGTACCTAACAACACAATGCAATTCGATAGTTCATCAATTCATGGACTGATGTCACGTCTTGGTTTGACCACTTCTAACTTTTATTTTCCTAACTAAAGTCTCCATCAAAAAAAAACATTGATAGTGAACGTAATGACAGTGACAGTAGTCAAGGATACATAATAGTCACCCTAATCACTTCAGTTCATGAAGATTTCCTATCTCATCGACCTATTTTCACCTTCTATGGTAATAAATTTACCTAATCAAATTTTAATAAGTAGTTATATTCACTATTAAATTCAATTGGTATTGTTTACATGAATCTTCCCATTGATGTGTAGCACTGCAATTGACCAGTCACTTATTGGCATATGTGCATACTGTGCATGTTGCCTCAATATTGTCTTTATTCATTATAAGCAAAGGTGGATATGCCAATAAGAGAGTAATTAATTTTTGTGCTAAACATCAATGAGAAGATACAAACAAACTATACTAAGTAAATTTAAACTTAAACCCATTGCACAAGCAGGACTCAGTAGCTAAGTGGATAACGCAATGGGGTTTAAAGTGAAAGATAATGGATTCGAGTCCTAGAGTGTGGACATCAACTCTGCGATACAGGTTCATCCAGCTGACGTGTCCGAAATAGGACGAAACGCGCATTAAACTTGATTCCACTGCTAGCCATTATCCATCTTTGCTTATATTCACTATTGTTTACTTATCATTTAAATGATAAATCATAATTGTAAACAATATTAACTTTATAATTTACTAACAATCTTATAGAAAGTTATATTTTCATACAGATATCGGTTGTATCCAATTCAGAATATACATTGCAATAGATTATCAATTAAAAACAATCTATACACTCGAAACAATGTATACATAACATAAGAATGTTTTTGGTCATAAGATTGATAAAAATTAGTCATATATTTCATAATAAACTATTTCAACTGATCTGTTTAAGAATTACAGTTTTACAAACATCATCTATTTAGTTGATTCATGAAAAGAAAAATCGATAATTTTTGGATATAATTTATGGTAACAAACAGATATATATATATATATATATATATATATATATATATATATATCTGAAGACCTGAACGCTTTGTTTAGTCTCTAGTCAAAATGGTTTGGTAATGAACATATAAATACATAAGAACAAATGTAAAATATATGTAAGGGTATTTTATAATTGACAGCTATCAACAGTTTTACCTTATGAATAGTGTAATTACTTTATTTTAAGGAATAAAATGAATTATTATCATTTATACAATAATAATAGTAATATCTGAAGGGGTTTTGTGGAGATTATAATAATTTCAATAGTTGAATACATGAGTCAGTTGAAGCTAGACCACTATGAAAAACCTGGAAGCACTGGACAGCCGTTTCGTCTTATTGTGAGACTCCTCAGAAGTGCACATTCAAGACCCTGCCCCCACGGGATTCGAACCCAAGGGATATTAGTCTCGCGCCAGGTGCTTAACTACTAGACCACTGAGTTAACCGGGATCCAATGGTGTTAATATCTCAATTCAACCAATCCACGAAATTGAGCGACACATCCACCATTGTCATGAGTGAGTTACTATCTCACAATTGACCTGGTTGAACTCCACTGGCCCCTACTTCTCACTAGAACTCCAGGATATACCTCTTAAAGTCAGTCACTAGTGAGCATATGTTGATTAGTATTAGAAGGGGTTTTGTGGAGATTGTAGTAATTTCAACCGGGTTAGTTGTGAGATAGCAACTCACTGATGACGATGGTCGATGTGTCACTCAATGGTCTAGTGCTTAAGCACCTGGCGAGCTACTGATATCCCCTGGGTTTGGATCCCGCGGGGGCAGGGTCGTGAGTTTGCACTTTTGAGGAGTCTCACAATAGGACGAAACGGCTGTCCAGTACTTCCAGGTTTTTCATAGTGGTCTAGATTCAATTGACTCATGATCCCAACTGTTGAAATAATAATAATAATCAAAACAACAGAAAATCAATATTTTGATCAATATTAGGAAACTGTATAGTAATCATTATATTTAGTAATTAATGCAATCATATTTTAACGGAAAGTTTATAAAAATTTTTTACTGAAGTAGAATAATGACTAATAATGGAATTCAATAAAAATTACGTTTTGTCTTATTTGATACTTGTAAGCCATTTAATAGTATTAGCTTAGATACAAAGATTCAAGTATAATATGTTTCGTTTCGAGCTACAGAAAATCAGATTGATCATATTTGTATCATTAAATATTCAGAAAGACAATGAAAAATGTATGAACTAGAGAGGGAACTGACATAGTTTCAGATTACCACTGGTTGTGGTTGCCAAGATGAAACTGAAGCTAAAAAAAGCATCAGACAACTAGAGAAACAGTAATGCAAAGGTTCAATACAAGACTTTCTTAGAGATACTCAAAAAGTCAACGAATTCAAGATGATTCACAACAACAAGTTCTAAGTTCTATAGGATCTACTCGAAGAAAACGAAACAATTGTGAATGAAAATTGGAAATGGATCAAGAAACCACTAACTTCAACGTGTTAGGAGGTTCTAGGCCGCACAATGTTCAAGAAAGGAAGAACAAGAAGACAGAAATAAAAAATAGCCGATCAAGAACATAGAAAGTTGAAACACAAGCTGAATTCACAGAAGCGATCAAGCAAGTGAAGAAGAACATTAGAGCTGACAAGCAGAAATAAAAGGAAGAGCTAACAACAACAGTGGAAAAAGCTGCAAGGGGAGGAAATATGAGATAGCTATATGATATAACGAAGCTGACAGGGAAATATAGTGAGCAAGAGGTCGGTCAAGGACAAAGAAGGCAAGTAAATCACTGAAATTTAAGACTAGCTCTAGTGAATCCCCCGGACATCGAAGCAGCACACACAAAACTTCCTATCAATGTCACGCCACCAACAATCAAAGAAATCAGGATGGACATCAGACAAATCAAGGATGAGCAAGCGGCACGACTGGACAATATACCGGCTTAAATATTGAAGTCAAACAAAGGAGTAACTGCAAAGATGCCCTAAATTTTATTCAGAACGATTTGGGAGGAAGGGATAAGTGCCGACAGACTGAAAAGAGGAAACTACATCAATTTACTGGAGATCTTAGTAAGTTTGAGAACTACTGTAGCATAACACTAATATCAGTACCAAGAAAAATTATCAAATAGTTGTTGTTGAACCGAATGAAAGATTTAGTGGACGCCCAACTTCAAGAACAACACACCGAGTCCTGTAAGGATCGATCGAGTGTCGATCAAATCATGACATTACACATCATTGTTAAATAATAAATTGGATGGAACATACACAACATACACAAGGAAAACACCAAGGTCCTCAAATACAACATGGAGAACACCAACACAATCACACTTGATGAAGAAATGCTGGAACAAGTAGAAACGTCTCTCAGTCATACGTTAAGCATTTAATTTCAAATTTCAGTTGATTTATGAAGTAGGATGATCAGCATTGACTATCAACTATTTGAATAACTGCATTACGCTCATATTGTTTGAGTTCATAGATCATGTTAGATTTTAAGAGACACTCATGTTGCATCTAAGCACACTAACAGGATTATCAATTGATAGATTCATTATTTTATGAATAATCATATTATGAAATGGTTTCTGAATTGAAAGAAATCTATGTCAATGCATCTTCAGTGTTAGTAATTTTGCTCTTTAAAAAATTATATTAGTTTAATCGATATTCAACAAGTGGAACTATCAATTATTGATGCATAACTGTTTTATTACAAACTAAGAAGACACTGCCAATATTGAGACCAAATGAAAACAAATATAAAAAACGAGCAAATAGAATAATTCTTTTGAGTAAAACCCAAACATGGATTCATTTGATTACATTAAGGATTATCTTTATTTCTGTTGTATTTCACACTTAATAACATTATTTAGATAAAACATTTCACAGTCGAAATCAATTAAATATTAATTTAATGGTTGAATTCATGAGTCAATTGAAGCTAGACTACTATGGAAAACCTGGAAACACTGAACAGCCGTTTCATCTTAGTATGAGACTCCACCGTGACCACTGGAGTTCATCCGGGTCTGTTGTGAGATAGTAACTCATTGATAAAATGGTGGACGGTGGTGCAAATTCTTGCATTGGTTGATGTTAGGCATTAACACCGACTCAGTGGTCTAGTGGTTAAGTGCTCGCGTGCGACATTGATAGGTCCTAGGTTCGAATCTCTCGAGAGGTCGTGGATGTGCACTGTTGAGGAGTCCCATTCTAGGATGAAACGGCCGTCCAATGCTTCCAGGTCTTCCATGGTGGTCTATCTTCAATTGATTCATGAATTCAACGATTAAATTACTATATTATACACAAAAACATCATTCTCTGATTATAATTAGATATTCCTTTTGAAAAGATTTTAGAATGATATGTAGTTGTAACACTCGTTGCTAAACAACCATTTAAAATTCAGGTATTTTAAATGCAAATGTTTCAATCTAGGTTATACATCATCAAGATTGTACAATATAAGGCTTATACAGAAAGGA